CTCCAAAAAAATTACAAATTTAAAAATCGCTAATTTTCGAAATTTTTTCAATTTTTTTTACTAAAAACTGCCGTAACTTCTTCAAAAATGAACATATCATTATAAATTTTTTTTATATAGATGCTTGATGTCTTTACTTATCATTTGGTATATTTTTTTTGTAAATATGACACTTAACCTGCCCACAGGGGGGGATTTAAAATGACAACTTTTTCACAAAAAACTAACTTTTTCAACTTAACTTTGAAAATGTTCCGGAAGGTCTGACACTTTATATATATCTTAAATTGAAGCTTATGTAAGATACTTTAATTTGAAAAAAAAAAATTTGACGTCTGGACTTGTCTTCACGGCGAAAATGGCTACCGAATGCTATTTTCGTGTGAAAATTCTCGATTTTATTATTTATATTATATTTAACTTTATAATGCTATAACTTATTGAAAAGTTTATGGATCCACACAATTTTTTTATGAGAAATAATATTTTTTAATAAACCCTTTTTCATTCGACATACTTTATCTTAATCGAGATATTAATAAGGAACCAGCAGATCAAGTAGCTTTTGGAATAAAACACCAATTTTTTTAAAATTAAACACTATCTAAAGATTTGCATCGAAGCGTTTATTTTTGATAGTGATTTTAATCACTGTCAGATATCATTATACTTATAATATATTTTTTTTTATATCTGACCCTTTATTTTTTCAACTTGATTTTTGAAAATGTTAAAAATCGTTAATTTTCGAAATTTTTTCAATTTTTTTACTTAAAATTGCCATAACTTATTTAAAAATAACCAAATCAAAATAATTTTGATTTATATATTTTTTTATATAGATGCATGATATCATTACCTTTCATTTGATATATTTTTTTTTATATCTGACCCTTTATTTTTTCAACTTGATTTTTGAAAATGTTCCGGAAGGTCTGACACTTTTATATATGTCTTAAATTAAAGCTAATGTAATATACTTTATTATGCAAAAAAAAAATTTCGGACTTTTTTTTTATCTTCACGGTAAAAATGGCTACCGAATGCTATTTTTGTATGAAAATTTTCGATTTTATTTTTTACATTTTTAACTTTATAATGCTATGACATATTTAAAAGTGTATGGATCAACATAATTTTTTTATGAGAAATAATATTTTTTAATAATCCCTTTTTCATTCGACATACTTTATCTTAATTAGGATATTAATAAGGAACTAGCAGATCATGTTTTCAGATCAGCTTTTGGAATAATCCATCAATTTTTTAAAATTAAACACTATCTAAAGATTTGCATCGAAGCGTTTTTTTTTTTATAGTGATTTTAATCACTGTCAAATTTTATTATACTTGATCTAGCTATGCCACGTCACCACTTTGCCGCGACCCCCATGTGCTGGGTTTTTAATTTTTATTATATTATTACAAACCTTCCTATTTAAAAAAAAAATTGAAAACTGAGTTCTTTTTTGTTAGCATTTAAAATACATTTTTATTACAATGAGTGATCAGTATGTAAAGAAATGGGTTTTTATCGTTTATAACAATTGAACTGTTTCCTTATTTACTAAAGTTATTATGATCTAGGGAAAAATGTTTACTTCATTATAAAAAATTTTATGTAAAAAAAGCATAAAATAATGTGACTTAAATTAAATATAGATTAATATATGTTTTAAACATACTCACTGCAACTGAAATTTTAAAATAGGGTTCACGTTTAAAGAACACTTAAGAAATATTAAAAAGTATAAAGTTAATAGTTCTATCCCCTATATTGGCTAGTTCTTAGCAAATAATAATTTAAAAAATTGTTTATAAAATAATATTATAGGATTAGAAAATATATTTACAGTTTATTAATATTGCAATGTCATACTTTTTATACAATCTATAATCATAAATAAATAACAATCTTTGGAATATTAAGAACCAATACCGTTCAACGAAATTTATATTTTTTGTGTCTCCCTGACCACGATTTAATTCTTTCGTTTACACATATATGATAAATTACACAAACGAGGCATCTAAATTTTTCAACTCTATAGCTAGAAATATAAAACACATCGTTCCAAATATTGCAGTTATATCAAACTGTATTCAATCTAAAGCTTATTTTTATTTTTCTTGAATTATAAAAAAAAAAAATTAGACATTAATTCTATAAATAGTCTTTAAAACAAATCAAATATAATATACTTTTTTAATGGTATGTGAATATTTTATAGCTAAATTAATTAACGTTATCAAACTCAACCAAAAAGACAAAAACTTCTATATAATTATAATGTTATACTTTTTATGTCACCACTGTGCCGCGACCCCCCTATGCTGGGTTATTTTAAGAGGATAATACTTCTATCAAATTTATTTTATAAACTTTCTTAAAAATTCATTGGGATTATTCATTGTTTTTTAAAAACGTTATGGCAGTTTTATAATGAAGCAAATTTTTATTAAAATTAATAGCAATATAAATTGAAAGTATAAAATATAGAACCAAATATTTTAACACAAATTAGCATGTTTTGAATGCAGTATCTATTTTTACCACTATGCCAAATTTTTTTTTTGAAATTGAAGTGTATTACATAAACTTTAATTTAAAATTTATTTGAAGTGTTTATCGAATATTTTCTAAAGTTAAAATGAAAATATTAAATTTTAGGGATCTGATTTAAAAAAAGTATACAACATAAAAAAATTAATTATTGAAGGTAATAGAAAAAAAAAATTGTTTTGATTCATCAATTTAAAAAAGTTATATGATTATTTTAATTTGAAAAAATTAAAAAAATGTCAATGTTTACAAATTTAAAAATAAGTATATTTTTTTTGGATATTTCACCATTTACAAGAAATGAGGGGATAATGTTTAATTTTGAAGGTAATGTCTTCAACTAGACACGATTTGTAGTCTTTTGATGAATTTTTGAAAGAGTCGGCCCAGTTAGATCTGAGAAAATGTAGTGACAAATACAACAAAAGAATAAATATATTAACATATCATGGTAAAATTAATACCTTCTCATCTTCGCATCGAATTAAAAAAAAATTTAACAAAGTGATAATTAAATATAAACTTATAAGTGATAAAATGAGTAAACACTCCGTTTACTAATATATCATTATTTTTTTAATGTGATGATTAAATTATTTTTCTATAAAATGGTAATTCTAAAAAAAATATGATGGCTTCTGTTTATAAAATCTAATAGTGTTCTCATTATTTAATAACTTAATCAATTACCATTTAAATTGATATTTTCATCTTCTTTGTAAAATCCATTTAATATAAAACCAATCGAATCTTGTGATAGACCAGCTTTCATCAAGCATTGACTTATATTGTCATAACAATTATTTGTTAATACCTTGGGAACTAATTCCTTTTGTCTATCATTATCGATTAATGTCATAATCAAACCATACCATTGTGTATCTAAGAATACAAAAAAAATATATATCAGTAGACGAAATAATTTACATTAATCCAGTATTACTATAAAAGCGACATATCCAGTCTTATTGTTAAACATGAACATTATACATACTATACAGAGCAATTCTTTTATTGTTAGCCACTCGATTTTTCTTAAAATTAATTTGTGTTATATCCTACCGACTGTGCCATTTGTTGTGTTCAGAGTAATTAATTAACAAGTACATAACACTGCAAGTGAATTTAATATCACGGCGTATGTTTATTATACTATAATATTATTGAAAAATAATAATAATAATAACAAAGTATTTATACCAATATCACAATATTATCGTATATTTGTACTTCGAAATTTGACGGAGAAAAACATTAACGTAACAAGTTGAAAAAGATGATCAAGTCATTGTGACCAGTTCAGTCTGCCACTCCTCATTGTGTGATCGGTCGGACGTAAAGAGGAAGCGCCACAATCGCCATCCAGCGGTTAAACCGGGAATATAATGCGACAATAATTATGTTTAAAAAAATTATTTTTGGTATTTAATAGTGTCATATATTTCTTAATTTAAAATTATTAATTACTTTCTTAATTCATCCCTTATACCTAATAAAGATGTCAACTTTATTTTAGCTTCCGTGAGACGATGTGAAGTTAAAAATTTTTAAGTTAAATAATTTATCTTTATGTCATGTAATTATTGTATTTTAGTTGTGTGTTCTGTAATTGTAGATGTAATTGTTGACACTTAATGTTACCTTAATTTAATAATCGTTTTTTTTTTGTAACTATTTAAATTATGAATGTCATAACTGACCGTGAAGCCACGTCGGACGGAGATCTACAACTCATTACACCATTGATAATGTTATCATAATGATCACACCATTAAGCCCTACCTTTTTACGTTCATATAGCAATTGTAAGGGCTAGCCCTTCCAAGGGGGTAGTATGTTGTGGCGAGTTATATGTGGTCGCGTTCAACTTACAACCCAAATGAAACCGGTTACATATAGTAGTGGGGAAGCCGTTTGCTGTCCGGTAAGTCGTCGCCTTATCTGGTCAGTCAACCATTGTACGGTCTAGTTGATTAGACCCATCGGCGCCGCCACGAGTTTTTCCGCGACTTTGCGGTATCGTAACGTAAATGTGAATTCGATGGGTTTACCGTGCGTGTGATCAATATAATTGAGTTCGTGTTTTGTTTTATTCAATCGGTTGAAGTTGGTTGAGTATTACAGTTATAATTCGATCATTGATGTTCTGCCCAGGTCAGATTATTGAATTCTACAACACTTAAAATCTTATACTTGTACTCATTTTATTGCAGTGTGACGCGGTCGCATTGCACTTCCGGCTTAACCGCTGGATGGCGACTGCGACACAACTACCTCTCTTCGTCCGACAGGTCGCGCGACGCCGAGTGACCGCTGGTGATGAGAACCGGTCCAGTAATGCACCAAGCATAGTATTAACATTTTGTCAATTGTCAACTTCCCTTTGGAAACTGAATTTGTTTTTATGTACTCTTACGGATATAGCAATTGTAAAATATATTTTCACTGATATTTAATCACGGTGTTGTTTATTTATACTATATAATTACCACCCGAACCACAACAAGTGTACTATTTAGTTGTTATTATTAATGTAAGTGGGGACGCCCAACTATAAAGTTTATTATTAATTACACTAATATTGTTATTATAGACAACTTCCTTTTGAGTTCCTTTATTTATTAAGTTTTAGGATTTCCTTTTATTCACTTCCTAAGTCAATCAGGCCAACCGATATTTAGGAGCCCGTGGACGAACAGTAGTAAAACCGGAAATGTAATGCGACAATAATTATGTTTAAAAAAATTATTTTTGGTATTGAATAGTGTCATATATTTCTTAATTTAAAATTATTAATTACTTTCTTAATTCATCCCTTATACCTAATAAAGATGTCAACTTTATTTTAGCTTCCGTGAGACGATGAGAAGTTAAAAATTTTACCATGATGTGCTTCTTCTTTTTTTATGTCTACCATTAATTTTTCTCAACTCTCACTGGATTGATTTTAATGATCAATACGTCAAAAGAACCCGATATAAATCCAGTTGAACTAATTATCGCCGACCATTGAAAAAAGTTCCCTATAGTTAGTATGATCTCAAAATTACCCTACCATAAAAATAGTATTTTCCAAAAAAAAATTATCCACTTTATCATAACATGATTTGTGATCTTTTGGCGTCTTGATCATTAAAATCGGTCCAGTGAGAGTTGAGAATAATGGTAACAGACACAAAAAACACATCATAGCAAAATTAATACCTTCTCAGCTTCGCATCGAATTAAAAAAAAATTTACCAAGTGATAATTAAATAAAAACTTATAAATGATAAAATGAGTAAACACTCCGTTTGGTCATCAATATTAATTTAATGTGATAAGAAAATTATTTTTTCTATAAAATGGTAACTCTAAAAAAAAATTTGATGGCTTCTGTTTATAAAATCTAATATTGTTTTAAGTTATTTAATAACTTAATCAATTACCATTTATAATAGTATCGTCATTTACTTCATTTTGACAATTTTCTAATATTGTAACAACCGATTCTCGTGATAGACCAGCCCCTATCAATCCTTCGCTTACCTTGTCCTTATTAATATTATTTATCATTTTCAAATCATTTATTAATTCGTTGTAAAGTGGTGTTTTTTTTTGTTCATTATTGGTTACTGCTGAAATCAAAAAATACAATTCCTTTATCTAAGAATACAAAGAAAAATATATGTATCACTAGACGAAATAATTGACATTATTCCAGTATTACTATAAAAGCAACATATCCAGGCTTATTGTTAAACATGAACATTATACATACTATAGTATGTAGAGAAGTTTATTTATTTATTTTTAAAAGGCTAAAAAGTTGGTTAGAATCTATTTTGTTAGATAGGAGGTTATTCAGGAAGGAGAGGTTTGATTTGTGCCGCCGATCTGCAAGACTGGAGAGATGTAGGGTTAAAAGGAAAGGAGAGTAATCATGAGGAGTGTGAGGGATATTGAGGCGAAATGATATCAGGTTTAAATATTTTCTTTGGGCCCTTTCTAGTGATGCCCTTGCACAAGCCGTTTGGGGATCTAAAGAACATAACCGTATTCTAGGATGGGGCGAACAAGGGAAGTGTAGAGAGTTTTTAAGGGGGTTGGTTAATTTAAATTCTTGAGAAATACGGGAAATGCAAGGAGTTTGAGGGCTTTGCAGGAAATATGTTTGATATGTTTGTTAGGAGAAAGGTTGTGTATAAAAATAAACCCGCGATCACGTATTGACTCAGAGGAACGAATTAAAGGAATGTTATTTATAGAATAATGAAAAACAATGCGAGAATTAAAACGGAACAATGACATGATTGAGCATTTTTTAATTTAGAGAGTGTTTAATTAGTAAACATTTATTAGAGCTTTAAATAAATTTAAATAATGTATTAAATTTTCTATAAAAAAATTAAATGTAAAAATAGGTATTAATATCGTGGCCACTTGTGACACTTTGATATTTTAAACACAGTTTTTTTAATTTTAATCGAAGTCAATTGCGTCTATACCTTATTGGTACAAATGTATTTTAAAAAGATATGTATACACATATAATTATATTATACTCGAGTAATTATATTATATTAATTTCCAAATTAATTGTTGAACGTAAATAAATTTTGTTAATTGAGAGTCAAAAAAACGCTTAATTCAATAGTGTCGAATAAAAATACTTAACATATTATTTGTAATTAAAATCAAAAAGTCATACAAAATTTGATTTTCTTCAATATAAAATAGAGTTGCAATTCACATTTTTTATTTTGTATTTTAACAATTTTATTTGAATATTAATAACAATTTAAAGTAGTGATTGGAGATGAAGCGCAGGTATTTTTATTTTTATCACTAGATATTCTTGCCTGCACTCCTCCTGCCTAAGTATAAAANGGCGCAGGTATTTTTATTTTTATCAGTAGACATTCTCGCCTGCACTCCTCCTGCCTAAGTATAAAAGTGATATTTGAAGTAATGGCCCAAAAGTTGTTATTGCCCTGATATTTCTTTAGTTGAATAATTTTCTATTTTATACTTAGTTTATTAACAAAAAGCAACAAATAAATAATGAGTTAAGAAGTATATATAACTAAAAGAATATAAAACATTTTTTCAATATTCTATTTATTTTACGAGTAATTGATTGGGTTTTAATAAACGGATCACACTTATTAGAAATTATTAATACATTTTACTACAATGTTAATTAAATTACACGATTAAATTAAGTTAGTCAAAAAAGTTCTTAACTCTTTTCTGTACCAATTTATTAATATAATATAAGTAAATAGATTAAAGTAATATTTTTAGTTAAATGTTACTTAATTTATATCTATGCCTAAGAGGTAATTTCAATGTCACATATTAAAAATAAAATGTAAAAATTTGTCACATTATACAGGGTGGCCCACTACTCACTGACAACTTAAATAACTTTTGATCCAGTTAATATTTTCAGCTGATTTCTTTTTTAAATATTAGTTAGACGTTAGGTCTATAGCTATATCTCAATAATTAATATTTTTACATTTTATTAAAAATATTAATTATTTTTAAATTTTAAATAAAATGTAAAAAAAAATCTAAGATAGCTATTTTGTAGAGTAGAATTTAAGAAAAATCTTAGTAAAAAAATATCTTATTAATATTCAGTAGTAAATATTCTGTAGCGTTTTGAAGTTTGTGAAAATTTGAATTTTCATGTACTATTTTACGGTATTAAACATTGAAATACGTATTGAGAAAAGGACAGAAGAAAACGCTATCTTTTCAATATACTTTTGAATGAGAGTGATAAGTAATAATTGCCTTATCTAATTTCTTATCATGGTATTTATGCCAAGTTTGTAATGTATACACACTATCATCATATGTATACACAGTAATCATGAAAAGATAGCGTTTTCTTCTGTCCTTTTCTCAATACGTATTTCAATGTTTAATACCGTAAAATAGTACATGAAAATTCAAATTTTCACAAACTTCAAAACGCTACAGAATATTTACTACTGAATATTAATAAGATATTTTTTTACTAAAATTTTTCTTAAATTCTACTCTACAAAATAGCTATCTTAGATTTTTTTTTTACATTTTATTTAAAATTTAAAAATAATTAATATTTTTAATAAAATGTAAAAAAATTAATTATTGAGATATAGCTATAGACCTAACGTATAACTATTATTTAAAAAAAAAATCAACTAAAAATATTAACTGGATCAAAAGTTATTTAAGTTGTCAGTGAGTGGTGGGCCACCCTGTATAGTATAAGGGATGAACTTAAAGTGTTACATAATTAATAATTCAAGAATAATGTGTAACTAAAGATAATCGAAAATAAAAATGTTTAACTTATTATTATTCTGTAAGTAATTGAGTGGGTAATGATAAAAAAATCACTCTGTATACAATGTATTTTATGGTTGCATTTTTCAAGTGAATTTTATTAAATAATGAGATTTTTGTTTATATTAACTAAAAATATTAACTGGATCAAAAGTTATTTAAGTTGTCAGTGAGTGGTGGGCCACTCTGTATACAAATTATTTTGCGATAATTCCACCAAAATTTGGTGGAAAATATGTAACATTAAATGTCACATGTACTATAAAATTTATAAAAACTAAGTTATATGCTATGTCAATTACCTGAGCTACTTCCACTACCGACTGCATAATTGAAACAACCTACTAAACTAAATAGAATTATATTGAATTTCATTTTAAGTTTTGGTAATAAAAATTAGTTCTTATTTTATTCCTAAAGTCAAACTGATTTAAAGTTCAAAATGCTTAGTTAAAAAAAAATCTGGTTATATAANTTTTTTAAAACAAAGAATTTATTTTAGAGATAAATGCACACTTAAAAATTTATATAATATAAAAAAAAAATATTTTTTTTAAACTCATTAAATTTATTTTAATTGTACTATAAAAGGGTTATGTGTTATTTGAGACTGTTGCATTAAGTTTAAATTGTTTTTATAATATTAAAACAAATTAAAAGATATTAGAAATAATATTTTACTAAGATGTGTTTATTTATTTTTTGTGTATGTTACCACTTTTTCTCAGTTCTCACCGAACCGATTTCTTTCAACGATACAAAATCGTATCTAGTTGAAGACATTACCCTTAAAAATTAAAAAATTTTCCCTCGTTCCCCGTAAATGGGGGAAATATCCAAAAAAATTACAAATTTAAAAAATGCCAATTTTCGAAATTTTTTCAATTTTAGCTTCGATGCGAAGCTGAGAAGGTATTAATTTTACTATGATGTGTTTTTTTTTTTATTTTTTATTTATTTTTTTT